TCGCAAGGCACTGTATATATATATAACAAGTTGCAGGACAGTGGTTAGCGCTTAAGGTTCCAGGTTCCAACCCGCGGCCTTTCTGTTCTCCCTGTGCCTGCTCGGGTTCTCTCCGGGTACTCCGGCTTCATCCCGCAATCAAAAGACATACAACTGAGGCTGATTGGCAGCTTTGTAAATAATCATGTTTACCCTGATTCCTGATTCTTTAATCAATAAATGCAGTTAAAGTATTGTCAAAAATTTTATTTTCTAAAATAAGGTAGTTGATTAGCAGAGCAACAATCATAAATTGTTGTGACAGAACTGAAGGCCAGTGTGAATGTATTAGACTAGTGTAAGAAGAACCAATTGAAGGCTCAGTTTAAAAACACCCAGGAATATTTCTTTGTTTTTCATTTTTAAAGTTTCCCATTCCTTCCTTTTCCTTTTCTCAGTGAAGCAGCTCTACACTGACTCTCTAAACCAGTACATTGCTAGAAGACAGATCATTCAAATCTGTGTGGGTGGTCAGTGTCGGGCATCAAAACTCAATTTTCTGTCTTGTCCCAAAGGACATGCAGCAATTTAATGGTCTGGGTTAATAAAGCAGTGTTATTTTATAAACATTTATCAAAAACATAAAAACAAACATTTGTCCCTTGTCACCCTAAAGCCCTAATGTTTTCTCAAGTCTATGCAACAGGACAGTAGTTTATTAAAGCCCACACATACAATTGCAGGAACAAATGCTCAAACAGATGGGCAACAAGATACCAGTTAATACGGGATACTAGGCATCTGGTTCAACAGACTTATAAACTGTGTTTTTACTTGTGTGACAGAGTGGCTCTGTCACACATGCCAGCTTTTTCAAAATAAAAGCCCCAGATTCTTACTTAAGCTCACATTAAGGCACAGCACAGTAACACACACACACACACACACACACACACACACACACACACACACACACACAGTTGGTTTGCTTTCAAAATAAGAACCCTGAAATATTCAGAAATAGCTTCAATATCAACAGTTGAACAACTGAATGTCCAGTTCCTTTAAAGCTCAGAGCTATGCTCCTTGTTACTGTCAGCTAGTTTGTCCAACACAGGCTGAAATGTGCTTGTGGTGCAAAATTGGTGTCAAGAAGTTACAATGTCACTCTGAAGGATGCTGGATAATGAATATAAGAGCCCCAGATTATAACTAGGTGTGACATGAGTGCTAAGTAACATGCCAGCTTTTCAAAATAATAGCCCCAGATTTTTACTTAAGCTTACATTAAGGCACCATAACATGCATGATCTTCAAAATAAAAGCCCAGGATTGTATCTTAAGGTCACATAAAGGCCTGGTAGTGTGAGCAGTGGTTTAAAATGCATGGCAAACTTTATTTGGACAATTATTTCTATTCATTTATGAATTCAAGCAATTGCATTTCTACATCTAACTTTGGAACTATAAGTATGCCTTCCACTGTCTCAGTGATGCATTTGAGCTCTCAGTTTGCTTAGGAAATAAGCTCCCAACTTCAGCTTTTCTTTCATGATCTTCCATAATCATTCAGCATTGCATCTCAGTCTTCAGCCATTTCAGCATTGCTTGGGCAATTCTTCAGCAATCGGCATTCACACACGTTTTTCAGGAAATGTCTTTGCCTAGTTTCAATTTCACATTTTTAATTGATGTTCAGTGTAAGCAGTGCTGCTGTTTAATGAAGAACAGTGTTTCTTAGACTTTAGACTGCCAGTATGTGTTTTATACAGGAAGGCTCACATTAACAATATGTACATTTTTTGTAATGTAGCCATTATAAGATGTATTCATTATGTCAGCTGTAATATGTGAAATATGTTATTTTATATTTTGCATAATCAGTTTGTTGTTATATGATTGAAAAATTGTTGCAAATTCATATCCTGCTTAAGGACTGAGTAGAAATTTGTAATCATGACTCAAGGATCATTATGACTTAATTAAATTACCTTTCTATGGATCAGGTCAGGGCACTTATCTAAATAAAATCTTTGAAAGTATGTGGAATCAATGCTTTTTGTCACAAATGATATGGCATGAAGCTCTTTCTCTACAAAATCTAAGGAACCAATGACATCTAATTGATACAGGCTGATGAGATTGATTTAGCTAGTTTACCCACTTTATTGTGTTTTGTGCAATCAAAAAAATGTATTTTCATATTATTAAAGCACCTTAACAATTCATTTTTATGCCACATAAAAAGACAGCTAAATCTACAAAAACATCACATCTACCATTATGTTTATTCATTACAAATCATGTACTAATTTAGTTATGTATGTCCATATCAATCTAGGAATTATATCTTCCTCTAGATTTGACCTACAAGTATTTCTAGCCCTGCCCACCTTCTCTGAATTCTACATAACTGAGGTCCATTTATTCTGTTATCCATGATTTTTAATTATACGTTTTAACTCTGACTTGCTATACTTGATCTCCATACATACTGTATCTGAAATACTTCCTGCTCCTTTATCACATTTAACCTGCTTGCTCATTGCCCCCTACTCCTATACATGCTGGAATCTGCACAAATTTTACATTATTTCTGAATTTTGAAGATTATTTGTTAACAGAACTAATTACTTTTGAGTGCTTTTGCATTAAACATATTCTGTTCGGGTCAAAATGGCCCAGATTCAATTTTCACCTTAAGAAAAAAAATATTTCTAAACATTTTTTGGGCTGAAATTTAAATTTCATTTTGTCATAAGATAAAGTGTGAAATAAAATAACAAGGGAAGGCGAAATCTGTTGTTGTCAATACACCAGCAATGCCTCTCTTCACGACCAACCCATTTGACCAAGATGTTGGTGAGTAATCAGAACTGGAGGCTATGTCTAGCACGCTATCTGAAGAAGCTGTGATCAGAAAGCTTTGTTTGTGTTCTCCAGTTGTGTGTAGCGTTTCCGTTTTCCTTGGACTTGTGTTTAGATGTTATACGGCTGGCTTGCAGTATAAATTGCCTGATATTTAAACTGCTTATATACACTCTCTATTGCGCTAATATAACTTTAAGAACATAACCCTCTTGAAAATGAAATACTTACCATCCATCTATCCATCTTGTCCGCTTATCCAAGACTGGGTAATGGGGGCCGTAGCCCAAGCAGAGCCTCCCAGACTCCCCCTCTCCCCACACACCTCCTCTAGCTCCTTGGCCAGCCGGGAGACATAGTCTCTCCAACGTGTCTTGGGTCTGCCCCGAGGCCATAGGTGAGGGTAGGAATGTAGATCGACCGGTAAATTGAAAGCTTTGCCTTATGTCTCAGTTCCTTCTTCACCACAATGAACTGGTACAGAGAACACATTACTATGGATGCCACACCAATGTGTCTGTCAACCTGCCATTCCATTTTTCCCTCACTCGTCAACAAGACCCCAAGATACTTGAACTTCTCCACTTGAGGGAGCAACTCGCCCCCAACCCAGAGAGGACAATCCACCTTTTTCCGATTGAGAGCCATGGCCTCGCATTTGGAGGTGCTAATTGTCATCCCTGCCGCTTCACACTCAGCTGAAAACTCCTCCAGTGCACACTGTAGGTTTTGAACTGATGAAGCCAACAAAACCACATCATCCGCAATAAACAGGGATGAGATTCTGTGGCCACCAAAACAGACACCCTCCATTCCCTGGCTGTGTCTAGAAATTCTGTTCATAAAAATAATGAACAGAATCAGTGACAAAGGGCAGCTTTGGCGGAGTCAAACATGCACCAGAAACAGGTCTGACTTACTGCCGGCAATGCGAACCAAGCTTTTACTCCAATCAGGGAATGGATAGCCGGTAACAATGAGCTCCGCACTCCATAGTCCCAAAGTACCTCCCATAGGATGCCATGAGACACACGGTCGAATGCCTTCTCCAGATCCAAAAAAACACATGTAGACTGGTTGGGCAAACTCCCATGAACCCACCAACACCCTACTGAGGGCATAGAGCTGGTCCAGTGTTCCATGGCCGGGGCGAAAACTGCACTGTTCCTCACGAATCCAAGATTCAACTATCGGCCGGATTCCCCTCTCCAGTACCCTGGCATAGACTTTCCCGAGGAGGCTAAGAAGTGTGATCCCCCTATAGTTGGAACACACTCTACAGTCCCCCTTCTTAAAAAGGGGGACCACCACCCCAGTCTGCCAGTCCAGAGGCACCGTCCCTGAATTCCACGCAATGTTGCAGAGGCATGTCAGCCAAGACAGCCCCACAACATCCATAGACTTGAGAAACTCGGGGCGGACCTCATCCACCCCCGGAGCCTTGCCACCAAGGAGTTCCTTAAATACCTCGGCAACTTCAGCCAGGGTAATGGATAAGTCCCCTCCCGAGTCCCCAGCCCCGGCTTCCTTTACAGAAGGTGTGTCGGAGGGAAATACTTACACTTTGAAAAACATGAGACTAATGACAACGTTCTTGTTGAACTTGCTGTTGACTACTTCTTAAGCTTGTCTTGTTTCCTTTGTCTTTCCCGTACAATAATGTAGATTTTAGAGAAAGTAAGTTGTAGTATTTCTAACATAGTTCTGAAAGAACAAAGTAGGTTTTATTTTCTACAGAGGATATGTAAAGGTCATAAAGTATGTAAAGCAACTGATCACAAACACAACATTCATGCAAAGAGTTTATTTATGAATCAGACTGCAGTATCATACAACAGTAGCACAATCATATGACCATGGATTATGCTCATATTTATAGATACAAAGATAAAGGCATGTGTTAAAGGAAAAGGAAAAAATGAATGAATTTTTTTTTTGATTCACTCTAAAAATAGCTTTTAAATACTTGGCATAGTTTTGTAAATTAAATTATGAAACATAATGTTTTGCCCACTGCTTTTACCATTGGAGTACCAAATGCAAATATATTTTATGAAAAACATTTTTTTCCTCCTCTCTCTTGCATTTCATGCAAGGAAGAAAAAAGATGTCAGTGAGTACAAAAAGCACTTAAATCTCATATGAAAATATAAAATATTACAAGTGTGCATAATTACTTCATGTTGCACATAACCTGCAGTACAAAAAGTCAAATGACACTATGTTCAAGTGTACCCGACATGCCAATTACTGGGGCGGGGGGTGTATGTACTGAAATAGTTATTCAAATGTTGTTAGGGGCAGTTTACACACAAGACCGAGGCAAGGCCCTTCAGCCTCCAAAATGAACTGAAAATGAGATATGTTAGTAATCATGGGTGTGCCAGCTTGTCCTCCCTGTGATGCTGACCATGAGCTTGTCGTGAAACACTGAATCACATCCTGTACTTTTTATAATTATGATTTTTGTATTATTTGAAATTCACAGTTTTGATTCAATGTTCCTACAAATAAACAGCATGAAGAGCAGAAGCTATCCACAATGCTACTGTACCTCTCCAGCCAGAGGGATGGCAGAACAGCAAGTCGTTTGTAAAAAGCTAAGGTATGGAACAGTGCTTAGTACGTTGGTATTTGGCATTGCCTGAAATATAATGTAATGCACACATAATAAGGCGAAATGATTATTTCAAATTTACAAGAAATGTTTGAAATGCTAAGACAAAGCTCTGAGTTGATAAAATGCTACAACTGTAAAATGCTACATAACAGTTAAGTGATACTTGACGAACAATTAAACAGTGATGGATTCCTACAGAGTTGTTGTTGACACATCATACCAGTGCTGTGTTGTTGTGGAAAAACCACATAATTGCATAAACTTGTTTTTAATTCACAAGAAGATTTTTAATAATTATTTAGATTCTGAAATATGATTTCAAGTGTATTATAAACCCTGCTCTTTTAAAATACTTTTTGCAAATATGTGGTTTTTAGCCAGTAATAGCATTGTACCCTTTAGTGCAATAAATGATAGTGACATTTACACAAATGAACACACTGCAGAATGAAAGAAACAAAGAAAGAGAATTAGGAGGAAAAGAAGAAAGAAAGAAAGAAAGAAGAAAGAAAGGGTAGAAGGAAGAAAAAACAAAAATCCCAATTTTATTTCTAAACATGTTTTGAGGAACCAACAACAGAACAATACATGATTTGAATTGGAAGACGTACAACAACAAAAATAAACACACAGGTCATGTCTGACCACCAACATAGGCAATACAGCTGAGATGGATTTATGTATAAAATATCACACGAATATCACACGGAGCATCCATCACTGACTCTGTTAGCATATGAAAAAGCACAATCAGAAAGTTTCCATCACGTCAACACAATGATGAACCCTATCGCTCACTGAAACTGAACTGTGCGATCAAGGCACACCACAGGGTCATCCCTTCCTACTGTATATCGCTCTGTTAGATTTTAAAGCACTAGAAAATTATGTATACTCTCAGTATGATACTATACAGACATATGATACTTTCAGCTATAAGCGTGGAGAAATAAAATTTTATGGTTAAATACAAAATATCTCTTAAAATATTTAAAATATACTTTATTTTGTACATTATGCAAACTGATTAACAATTCGATGATAACAAAAATAAATATTTCGTGAAATGTCATCTCTTTGTGATACAGATGTATGAACATAGATATATATCATGAAGTAAAGTACCCACCCCTGATAAGCGCCCATATACCCTGACACAATTCCATATCCCTGTAGTATGATCTGAATGACACGTTCACATTAAAACTCCTGACAATGGTTCCTACAGGTAGCTCCACTATACTGCTGAGCTGTTTGTACAACAATATTGCTCTACTTATCTTTTTTTTCTATATCCCTATATCCATCTTTAATGCTGATCAAAGTTGCTGACACCACTTCTACTCAATTCAAGCCTTTATTGCTTCCTGAAATTACCTGGAATTGGGAGCTATACATCGGACTAACCAGAGACTTCACCTGATCCAACCAGGAAACACGCATCTGGGTAAAGAAGGCAGCTCTTCCTATCCAGTGTAGAACCAAAGTATTGTATAACAGGTCGCTGATCTATCATGTCATGTGGTATAGAGTCACTCTTCACTGAAGAGCTCTACATGTTATGGTTGCAGTGTGTACAAAAGCAATGAGACAGGGCACGATGTCATTAAACTCTAAAATAAGAAAGGCTGATTTATCTCATCTGAAAATCAAAACAGTTCTTGAGCCAGAGACAGTGATGTCCAGTTCTAAAACAGTTGTCGCCTCATCACAACAATCAGATACGCAGTTTATTTTGGTGTAGTCTAAATGCAACAGAACAGGTTTGTGAAATAACCCTTCTATGTCTATGCTAGGTTAAACATAAATGCTTACATTCATATCCTTAACAGCTTGCCCGTAAACAAACAGATCAGTTCAGTATGCAAAAAATGTCTCCTCTGTATTCACTAAGGGCATTTCAGAAGTTCTAGTATGCATGACAGAATTGCATAATGTCTGCCAATGAAAAAAGCATAGGGAGGATAGAATAGAAAGGACAAGCCGCTACAAGAAGACTAACTAGTAGAAACCCTATAAGAGGATGGGCTTGGGTATGGAGGACAGTTGGGACTGTGGGAAATCAGTTTGTGGATGCTGGGTAGGGATTCGGAGTGGAGGTTGCCCCTCAAGTTAAAGGGGTACCTTCCTTTGGCAGTGGCACAGCACTCTTAGTAGTCAACGCAGCGCCGAGGGTGAGGGTGTACACAATGCTCTTGTCGGACAAGAAGGCCATTTCAGTGTCAACATGAGATGAAGGCATTCTAGTAGGCAGCCAGGTCACAGTGTTGGAGCTAAAAACCTCAGATGGAGATGATGGATGTAGTCTTTCTACATGGTCTCCACTCGGTTGGGATCATGGGGTTCTGAGATGTAAAGAAAAAAAGAATGATTTAAAAAAGTGGACTTTTTAAAATCTGTATCCAATATTGTATTATCTACCATATTAATTTAAGCCAGAGCTGCAAAGTGCAAAAGATGGACAAAAACTATCTTACATGGGACAGAAAAAACATGCTTTAAGTGTGCTTGATTCAGTTTATTTCATACAATACATCCCAGTGACATGTGTAATACATTTGAATTTGCTGAGGAGAGAAGACGTGCGCTGTCTTGGGACACTGACACCATCTTGTGGAGATGCCTTTAACAGCAAGGCCCACTGACAGTTTCTTCAACAGTTCATTTTTATGATGATATGAACAGCTGTGCTCTTCTGCTATTTGAGTTTTAAAACTGAGGAGGAAAATACCCAGAAATTATGAGGGGTGAGAAGAAAATAATTGTGGTTTCAACCATCTCTCTTAGTACAGTTTAATGCCCTCTTAACAGATTCAAACATAAAGCACAGTTGTGGTCAAAATAACCTATGTAGCATACAATGAGTTTCTTTTCTGAAAAGCCATATCCTTCATGTTCTATCAACAGCATCATCCATTGTGATGTTAAACACAAACACATTTTGAAACACAAAGATTGTCAAAGTTTAATTTCCACTTATTTTCATCTTACCTGAGAGTGATGACTCCTCCTCATCTTGCAACACTGTCTCCTCAGAGACCTGCTGTGAATGGGTGCCCTCTGGATCATTCTCCTCGTCTCCCGGAGAAGCAGGGCTGGGCTCCTCTGCTTGCTCGTCTTTGCCCTCCCCCTCAGCCTCCCCAGAGTCAGTACTTCTGATGCTGAGGCGCCTCATGCGATACATAACGTCCACTTCCCTCATCCGGGCAAGGCGCTCGACTGCCACCCGACCTGGAGAAACAGCCAGCTTGTTCTGTAGTGCTTCAAATCGGTGGGAGGGGCCCCTGCTCTTCCTCTCCCCCTCTAAGCTAAGAGACAACCTGCGATCTAGGTTTGGGGGAACTGAAAGTGGCAGTCTGTCTGGTGGAAACTCTGGTAACCCTGGGTGTTCTCGCCCCAAATGAGTCCGTAGACCAAGTCTGTGCTCTAGGACAACAGATGGCTTCTTTTCTTCTTCCTGCTTGTCATCAGGCATGGTATTGTCTTGTGTCTCACACTCACATTTCACCTCAGCTGTCTGTTTGTCAGCACTGCCTTCAGGTGTTTCTCCAGTAACTTCTGTCTGTCCTAATTCTGCTTCCTTATTTACTGTTTCACTAACACACTGTTCCCCTGTGACTTGTGGGGCTGCAGGCACATCAGTTGCTGATATTGTGGACGCACTGTCTTCCCTAACTCCAGTCACTGGTATGCTCTCAGCAGGATTAACTGCACCCATATTATCCAAGGTTTCTGTCTGAGCACTGTCTGCTTTTTCACCCTCTTCCGCATCTTCATGTGTCAATGAATGCTGCTCTTTTGTTTGAGCACACAGGTCAGACCCTGACTGATTCAAACTTGAGTCATTTAGCTCCTCTGTTTTTATACCCTCTGCTGGACTGTCTAACGCAGCGCATTGTTCTGGACTGCCATTTTGATTGGCCGAGCTGTCCGAGCTGTTCTCCTCATGAAGTGGAGGCAACGGTCCCTGTCTCATCTGATTCTCAAGCTCTCTTTTACAAATAGGGCACTCCTCTTCTGATTCAGTATTGAGATCCTGAAGTGACTCTGCGTCATTAGCTTTGGAATTGCCTGTGGACAGTTTATTGGCATCTGCCGGATCTCTAGACTGACGCAAAGCCTGGCATATGTCCTCATAATCAGGAGGACTAGTGAGTGTAGAAGCATCCTGCATAGGCTGCCTATCTGCCCATGGTACCTCAGCTGCTGTGGTGTGCGTTGTTGGACTGAAGTCACAAAGTGGTGTCTCAATGGGCTCATCTGGCAGGTCTAGTTTCACTGTTCTGCCATCATTGCTTCGTCTGCGCGAAAGATGCGCAACAACCCTGTATTCTCTGAAGCCTGTCTCCCGAGGTGGGACAGGGAGCTCCTCCCTAAGCTGCTTACTGAAGGTTACCGATTTTGTCGCAGGCCTGGAGAAGGCGCTCTTGACTTCCCTGTATTCTGGGTCAACAGACCAGCTTACTGCACTGCGCCTAAGGCTGCTGGGTTTGTTGAGAGGTTCTGATGCCAGTCGGATTTTTATACGCTCAGGGATTTGAACAGAACCATTTGGGACTTTATTGCTGGCATTGCCTAACTCCAAGATGTCTTTGTAGGCCTCATTGAGGTCCTCTATGCACTTGTCAACGCTGGGCTGTTTGCTGCTCTGCTGCTGCTGCTGCTGCTGTTCCTGGGCTTCTTTTTTGATGGTCGCCAGCTCTTTGACAGCATCCCATGTTCTCTGACTGGTCGGTTTGATCAGGAACTGTTCAAATGCCTCCTGGCCACTGGTTGTTGCTGGTTTGGTTTCCTCCACATTTCCTGAGGGTGGCACTGCTGGCTGCTGAGCTGTGCTCTTGTTCAGCTGGTTGGAGAAGGTGGCGGTCAGGGAGAAGGCGCTGTTGCTTGACAGTTTGAGGCTCTTCACTCCCTGTATAGGAAAACTGAAAGCAGTGCCCACTACACTGCCGTTGTCAGGAGGGACTTCAGTGCTGGGAGGGACAGGGTCTTGTTGTGCTTCCTTGTTTTCAGGGGCAGGTTTTCGGGCCTCTGGGCTAGTTTGTGTCTCCTGGTCTCGATACTGGTTTGCAGGCCAGGATCCTGACAGTTTCAGCTCCTTGTAATGGTTTATCTTAGGGGGTCTACAAGGTAATTTTTTAAACATTTTGCTGCTTGCTCTACTGCTTGTCTTGCTGCTTGCTATGCTACCAGTTAGTGCTTGCAGCTCAGCTTCAGCTGAAGATGTGCTTTGGAGACTTTGGTTTGTTAAATGGCCAGTTTTGTTGTCACTTGGACTGCCCGCTGGGTCTGGTGACTTCTCATTGTTGTTATTCTGATCACGGATTGTCCCAGTGGGCTGTGGAGTAACAGGGACAGACACCAAACAAAAAATTGTCTCACTAAGTCTCTTTTTTAAATTCTTGGATTTGTCTTTTTCTGGTTCAGGTTGTTCCACCTTTTTTACTTCTGAAACAGTTTCTGAAACACCATGGTCAGCTGGCTTGCATGGGGGAGGTGGTGGTTTACCCAGAATGGATGAAGGAAAAAACTGACTACGGTTTTGTTCAGAAGCTACGCTGTCACTTTTTTTGTTTATTCCCCTGTTGCACCATCGATTACTGCTGTCATTTTCTGTGACAGCTGTTTTGCGGTTGTCAGTAGTGAGAGCTGGCCCCTGTTGGGGAGGAAAGGCACTATCATGTGTAGATTGTCCTAAAATCTTAGCGGACGGAATTTCCTTGTTGATGTTACGGATCTTGTCTGAGTCAGTGAGAGAATTTCCGCCTGGCCCTCCTGAGATTTGCTTCACTCTTGGGTCTTCAGTGGGTAATTGACGGGCATGACCTGGTTGTTCTTCATGTCCAGAATGTACCTGTTTTCGATAGGATGCACCACGATCTCCATAATGTTCCAGCCACGAACCACCTCTAGAAAGCCACCTTCCAGGATCTGAGCTGTGCATCTGCAGCGCTTCCACCCTCCATCTTGGGCTTGCCATTTCACTGCGGTTGACAGAAACTGCTCTTGGGGGTAAGACTCTTTTATAAGAAGGAGGTGGGATGTAGCCAGGGGGCTCCATTCCAGAGATGGCAGAGTGTTGTGCGAAGTAATCTTGTCTTAGCTCCCCACCCCTCGGATAATAGATAGACCTGTCTTTTTGTTTGGCACCCTGGTCTATAGCAAGCATTTCTGCGCTACCCCTAGTCTGCTGGTGAATCTCATATGACGGAGGCTTTAAAGGCCTGCTGAA